GCATGTGTCGTCGGGACGGCATTGCCCGAGTCTACTCAGAGGCTCCGAGCAGGGGTCGCGTGCCCTGGTCCCTTCACTCAGCAAGGCTCGCGGAAAGCCCAGGCGCGGGGCCCAACAGTAACTGCAGAGACGGGCCCGGCTTCCCGGAGCTGGTGGGACCGTGGGGCGTGTGGCGGCTGCCACCACCCTGCTGCCACTGCAGCCGGCCCGGCCCTGTCGTTGCCCTCGATGCCCGTAATTCTCACCACTTCTCTGTAGGAGAGAGAAAGGATCGAGGCACCAGGAAGTCAAGTCAGCTGCTCAAGGTCGCCCGAGGTGAAAGGGTGGATCCAGGTTCCAGTGTCACATCACCGTCCTGCGTGGCTCGGTCTGGGTGAAGGGACCGAGCGAAGCACAGATGTCCAAGGGCTGGAAGAGGGAAAAGAACAGGGAAACGTGGTGAGGAGAGCAGGCCTGGAACTCAGGGAGGAGGGAGAGGTAGGGGGGGCGGGAGGGGGTTCGTCGCCCAAGTGCCATCAGAAGCTGAGACGCTGGTGGCCGGTGACCACTCGGCATGCATGCCGCAGGGCGAGGAGCGGGGCAGTGATGGTGGGCACGGTGGTCAAGGGGAGAGATGGGCCGAGGAGGTTTACCTGTGTGTGGTGTAAGGTTGGTAGCTCAATTGATGGACACCCCGGCTTGCTCCTAACACCCCTAAACAGTGCCAGGGAGCCCACCATCTTGCAGAGGGGCTTCCCTTAAGTTCATGATCTCTGAGAAGGGCCCAGTGAGAGGTGATGCGGGTGGAGGGCGGGTCCCCTCTCTCTGGTGGGAGACACTAGAGCACATGTGTACCTGCTGGGGACGACCGGGAGGGAGGGAGAGACGGGTGATGGGGGACAGGGGGGTAGGGGAGGGACAAAGTCCTTGGGGAGGGAGGATGGACAGGGTCCCAGCACGCGGGGAGGGGAGCAGGCACTGGCCCAACCCTGCAGGGAAGAAGACAAAGACAGCGTGGAGACTGGTGATGGGGGAAGAGGACTCCACCTCCTCAGGGAAGGATGGGCCAGGCACACTGCGGCGGGTGCGTGCGTGACGGTGGAGCAGGGGCTGGAATTACTGTCTTAGAGAAAACGAGCCGAACTCTGCACCGTCTGGAGTCACGGGCAGGTAAGCGCGAGGTTCAAATCCACAGGCTTCTTAGCACCAACTGTGGTCCTGAAAGTCCTTTCTCCACTAAAAAAATCAGGGCTTCGTGGAGAAATGATTCATTTCAGGCTGAGGAGCAGGAAATGTGCAAGAGGAGCCTGCCGCTGCCACACCAGAAGGCAAGGAGCCGGTCAAAGACCAGGGGTGGCGTCCAGAGGGAACACTGAGCACAGCAGGGCTAAAGCCGCCCTGGACGGGGACACAGCAAATGTGCTTCCACTCGAATAGGAGCTCGTAGTGCGAGTTCAACGACTAAGAAAATTGGTCACCGTTGGAGGGTACAGTGAACCAATTCACTGAGTTCGAAACAGCTCATTATGTGAACACGAGTAAATAAAGGAAAAGAACTCTGTTCTACAAGCTTTGTTTGTTACTCTTAGTAGGTGGGGATTCTCTGCTAATAGAATTTGAGTCCCCAGTGGAGGAGGAATGATGGAATAGGACGGAGCTGTTTGGAGGATTACGGGTTGCACTGACGGCCAGTGGCTGCTACATGACAAGGAGGACGTCAGAGGTACAGACACCTCAGGGACACACTCAGCAAATCCAGGGGCGGAGGAGTGCTGGGCACGCAACCTAGTTTTTCAACAAGCAGATGGCGAGGGGAAAACAGAAATGGAGGGAAACCGTCTATTAAAAGGGGTTTACGTGTGTGAATCACAAACTGTGGGAAGCAGCTTAGGACATTTAGGAGACAATTGGAAATGTGAACACTCACTGAATATCTGCTACTATTGAATAATTATTGTTTAGATACTGTTAAATAATTAATAATGACACCAGTGTGCAGGGTTACGCAGTCGCTTTACTTAGCTTCTAGGTCACGCTGGGACGGGCCAGCACTCAGGGGACCAGCTCGGTTCGGTGCTGGTGTCTGTGTAGTGAGCACCAAGCTTACTGTAGCCTCTGCCCTGAAGTGTGTGTGTGTTGGGGGGACATAGTCAACAGAGTGGGGGTGGGATTGGCAAGTGGCACCTCACAGTTGCGCCTGCTCCTTACTTCCCGAGCTTTCGGTCCTTAACTCCTCTGACCCCACCTCCAATCCTCGCACCCACCCTGAGGGCGGGGGTGGGGGTGGGCAGGTGCTGCGAGGTGAGGAAAGCAGGCGGGGTGGGCGGGTCAAGGTGACCTATTGGCAGGTCTAGAGACAGGGCCTCAATCTCTCCAGGACAGCACCCCTGACCTCCACGGAAGCTAGTAAAAGGCGACTTACCCAGCGCTGTCCGCTCCCCGGGCGTCCTCGCTCCACCTGAGAGGTGGGTATTATAAACCCGCTTCCCCGCAGGCAACCGAGGCAGAGCGAGTGCCAGGGACCCGCCCAGGGTCGCCGCCCAAGTGGATGAAAGAGGGAGGCGCGGCCGCCGGCCCCAGCCCCGCGGGCTGCCCATAAAAGGCGCGGCGCTCCAGGTCCGGCCCCTCGGGCACTCCGGGCCTCTCGCGCGCAGGAACGTGTGGAATCTCCTCCGG